AGCAAGACTTGCAACCAGGGGAGCAGCAGGCAGTGGCATTTCATCCACTGAACCTGTCTCCAAGGCCCCCTTTTCTCTGACTTTTCAGTGAGATAATTAATAGGAGCCCAGCTTGGCTCACTTCTGTCACTATGACTTTTACTTCTCGGTCAGCCCATTCTGCCCTACGTGACTCACTTTCTTCCTATAACAATTCGGGAGGGCCAAAGCAGAGCACTGCCAGTCGCTTCTTCTATACCTAAGCACTTCCTTGGTTCCACTCTCCCCAACTTTCATAAATGTAATCTCAAAATAAAAGGAAGAAAACACCAACAAATCCTGAGTTCATTTTCAAACAAGCATTTTTTTTTGTTTTTGTTTTTTGTAAATCCTCACCTGAGGATATTTTCCCATTGATTTTTAGGGAAGTGGAAGGAAGAGAGAAGAAAAGACAGAGAAACATCAATGTAAGAGAAACACATTGATTGGTTGTCTCCTGCACGGGCCCCAATCAGGAGGAACCTGCAACCAAGGTATATGCCCTTGACTGGAATCGAACCCAGGATTCTTCAGTCTACAGAACAACACTCTTTCTTTTAAGCCAAACCAGCTAGAGCAAGCATTTAAATATATATATTTCAGAGAGGAAGGGAGAGGGGGAGAGAGAGATAAAAACATCAATGATGAGAGAGAATCATTAATTAGTTGCCTCCTTCACACCCCCTACTGGGGATCAAGCCAGCAACCCGTGCAAGTGCCCTTGACCAGAATTGAACCTGGGACTCTTCAATCCTAAGACGATGCTCTAGCCACTGAGTCAAATCGGCTAGGGCAGAATGTTTTATTTTTAATTTTTATTTTTTTAAATCAATCTTTATTGTTCATATTATTACAAAGGTTCCTCATTTCTTCCCCCCTCCATCAGGTTCCCACCCCACCCTCCACCCCCTCCCCATTGTCCTCATCCATAGGTGCACAGTTTATGTTCAGTCTCTTCCTCCCTCCCTTTTCCCGATAGTAAATCCCTTTTCAGATAGTAAATCAGTTACTTAGCATTTTCTCATATCAATAATACCTCCACATGCCCAATGATACACTTCACACAAAAGACATTTCCAAATAGGTCAACCAGCCTCATCCAGGCCCCACCCAAGGCATTCACAGATCAACACCCCAGCACTATACTAACTCAACACATCCAGATCTAAGCCTTTATTACTTGATTCAGCAGACCCTCAAGTTCCCACAAAAGTTTCCAGCCATGCCTGAGAGGCAGCTGTGGGGCAGGGACAGGTGAGGAGAGAGCTGTTCCGGGCCTGGCTGCTCCGGGCCTGGCCTCTGTTGCTCTGGTTCGTTCCACAACCAGCTGCTCTGAGTCTGGTCACTGCTGCTCCCGACCTAGTTGCTCTGGACTTGACTGTTGCTGCTCCGGGCCTGGCAGCTCCCAGCCTGGCAGATGCTGCTCCGGGCCTGGCCGCACCCGACCCGGCTGCTCCGGCCTGGCCGCTCCCAGCCTGGCAGCCGCTGCTCCGGGCCTGGTAGGGCAGAATGTTTTAAAAGAAAACCATCTGAAGAGTTAGAAGAATCCTATAGAATGTAAGCTCAATGAGAGTAGAGGCTCTATTTGTTTAGTTCATTTTGATGTTTCTGTCTCTCTCTCCCTCTCCCTTCTGAAGAGTGGAACTCTAAAAACAAACCTATGTGACATTTACATATAACAAGTGGGTGGTGGGCAGAATAAACCTAATATCAATGGCCAAAAAGATGGCAAGCCATGAAATGCAGTGGCAAAACAATTTGTGAAACTGTTGCTTAAGATTATTTGAGCAGCAGACCACATGTCTACTGAGCCCTGGGGGAAGGGAGTAGAAAATAGAAACTTAATAGAGGTTATTTTTAGAAGAGAGTGTCAAGATATTATAAGAAAGAGATGAGATCAGGAAAGAAACCCCTTAAGGGTTTGTAAGAAGCAACAAAAAGGAATAGAGTCTAAAATTTGGGGCCTTACAGCAGCAGTCGGTTTTGCTCAATGGATAGAGCATCAATCCTCAGACTGAAGTGTCCGGGTTGGATTCCAGTCAAGGGCTCTGGTTGGGGCCTGTGCAGGAGGCAACCAGTCAATGTGTTTCTCTTACATTGTTGTTTCTTTCTCTCTGTTTCTCCCCATCCCTTCCTCTCTTTCTAAAATCAATAAAAACATATTTTAAAAAAGGAAACTACCACTTGTCCAGTTGGGGTGCACCATCAAAGAAAATATCACAATTATCTGAAAAAGCTATTAAAATAGCCCTTCCTTCCTCCTCCAATTATATACCTACTTGAGGTTGTATGTTCTTTACATAAACAAATTATAACATGGCAACAATTGAATGAAGTAGATACACTACCTGGTGTCTTCTATGAAGCCAGGCATTTAAAAAATTAAAGACATTTGGTTTTTAATACAAAGTATCTACAAAACAATGGTATAAATGATACTTGCAATTTGCAATAATGTGGCTGTAATTTGCCCCTTACTCTTCAATAAGTATCAGATGTTTAAAGTTCATTTCCATTCACACACTTCTGCTGCTGAAGCCTAGTTCTTCTCAAAGACTCGAGTTGCTTTGCTCTTAGCCATCGTTCTCTTGACAGTGTTGTTTTGTAGATACTTTGTATTAAAAACCAAGGACTTTTCCTGAAACAAGCCTGGTAACACCTGAAGTTTATATAATATCCAGTGAGGGCTTTTACCTTACTGATTTTATGGAGCTTTTGGAGTTTGTTTTATAATTATATAAATTAGTAACAATGTAAACATTGTATTTGATATTAAAAGTTTAATATTGATAAGATAATGTTGCTGCTTATACCATTTCCTTAGCTGAAGCTAAGTTATAGGCCAGACTCTGTTCATATGAAAATCGTTGCAGTTCCATTCAGGAATTGTTCACTTAAGATTTACATTTTTTCAATTAACAGCAGATCTGAATGTGTTTAGTGGTCAGATGTTTGGGAAATGATACTGCAGAATTTCACATGATTTCCCAAATATTTGGCCACAGAAGCTTCCCCCCCCCCTACTTAACAGTTGTTAATCTGCAAAAAAATAGAATAGTCTTTAATGTGGCAGTGGTTCCCATACTTTTAGAGTTCATGGACCAGTAATATTTCCCAAAATTTTTGGATGGACAAAGATGCTGTTATCTGAAAAATCAAATCACTGTATTATTACTTTTTTTTTTTTCACGAGGACAATTTTAGAACAAGATTGTCCTTTAAATGGAATAAATGTAGCTTTTTGAAAAATAAATAAATAAATAAAAAGACATTTGCAAAAACAAAAAACACTGTTATTCTTCTCATTAGGTTTTTTATTTTTTGAATTTGAAAAATGTGGTCATTTTTTATACAAATATGGTCATTTATGCACTTCAAGGGCTTATTATTTTTTAACAAAAGACATATTTAAAATTTTTCTCAGTTTTAATTTCTAACATGTTAAATATTGATAGTAATAACATGTAAACAAAAGCTTTTTGGAATCTTCAGCAATTTTTTTAAAAAAATATATTTTTATTGATTTTTTACAGAGAGGAAGGGAGAGAGATAGAAACATCGATGAGAGAGAAACATCGGTCTGCTGCCTCTTTCATACCCCCTACCGGGGATGTGCCTGCAACCAGAGTACATGCCCTTGACTGGAATCGAACCCGGGTCCCTTGAATCTGCAGGCCAACGCTCTATCCACTGAGCCAAACCGGCCTCAGCTTCAGCAATTTTTAAAGGTTTAAAGGAGTTCTGGGACCAAAACGTTTAAGAATTGCTGCTGTAGCTGATTTCTACTTACCTTTTGGATTTCAACTTAGATTTTATTTTTTTGGAAACATTTCATGGACATCTGGTTGGATGTAGGTGTCCTATGTGCTCCATTAATAATACCTTAATTATTAGCAGCTCCTCCCAGCTCCATTATATATATCTTATTGATTTTATAGAGAGGAAGGGAGAGAGATAGTTAGAAACATCGATGAGAGTCATCGATCAGCTGCCTCTTGCACACCCCCTACTGGGGATATGCCCGCAACCAAGGTACATGTCCTTGACCAGAATCGAACCCAAGCCGACGCTCTATCCATTGAGCCAAACCGGTCCCGGCTGGATTATCTTTTTATAATTGAATTGTAATGGTTCTTTATGTGTTGTGAATATTAGACCCTAATATATATATATATATATATATATATATATATATATATATATATATATACACACATATATATATATTTGCAAATAATATTTTCTTCCTTTCCTTACGGTTATTTATTCAATACAAAAGACAAGTTTTTAATTTTGATGAAATTCAATTTATCTTCATAAATTGAAATAAATTGTCACATCTAAAAGCCATCCCTAATCCAACAGTAAAACATATGCCTTTGTTTCCTTTTAAGAGTTTTATAGTTTTGGCTCTTACATTTAGGCCTTTGATTCATTTTTAAGTGAAATTTTTCATAAATTCCAAGTTGGTGATCCAAACTCATTATTTTGCATGTGGGTACCCAGTTGTCCAGCAACATATGTTGAAAGATTTCTTTCACCATTGAATTGTCTTGGCACTCTTGTTGAAAATTACACTGATGTGTGAGTGCTGCTTTATTTCCAAATCTCTATCCTATTTCATTTGTCTACATCTTTATCCTCTATGCTTATGCCAGTAGGGCCATTGCATTTTATTATTTATTTATTTACTTTTTTAAAGAAGAAATAATAGAAAGACCATTCTTTAACTCAAAGCAACGAATTCCAGGGTGGGAATGAGCTCCTCCTCCCCCCAAGTTTAGAACTTTTCGGCAGCATCGTTTTCACCAGTAACCACCCAGACTGTGTCCAATGAGATCCTTGTTTTGTTTTGCCTCCTCCCCAGCCCCCCATCAAAGTCACGTGTTCGCGGGGTGAGGGTGGGGGCTGGTTAAGCCAAAACCTTAGCTCTAGGGCAAGGAGCGCTGGTATCCAATCCCGTTTATTTCGGGAGGTGGCCCCGCGAGGCGGAGACAATGGAAGTCTCCGGGCTCAGCCTTCCGAAACGGGCCGGAGGGAGGGGGCGGGGCTGTCAGCAAACCCCAAACCCCGAGGCGGGGGCCCGGACTTTCCCCGGTGTCGGGGGTCCGGAGTTGGGGGGCGTCGGGATCAGACTGTGGTTCACTCACTCGCACGCCCCCGGCCCGCAGCCCGAGCCCTCCCGCCGCGGCGCCCCCACCCCGCCCGCGCCCGCCTCGCCTCGCCTCGCCTCCTCCCCGGCCCGCTCCCTCCGCGGAGCGGAAGTGACGCGCGGCCGAGCGGAAGTGCCTGCCGCCGCGGTGTTGTGCTGTGGGGAAGAGGGACGGGTTTGTAAACCCCGGAGCGAGGTCCTGCCTACCCGAGGCCGCTGCGGTGCGGAGACCCCGGGCGAAGCGCCGTCACCATGTCTGACCAGGTACGGGGCCGGGAGCCGTCTGATGGCGGCGGCGGGGCCTCGCTGGGCCGGTCCGCTGGCCGCCGGGCAGGGGCTGGGGGACGGCGGCGCGGGGGAGGGGAGCGCGGCCGGGGGGAGGGGGCGGCCGGTGCGGGGACTCGGCGGGCTGGGGAGGGGAGTGCCCCGGGGCCCGGGGCGGCGGGGCCTCCCGGGGCCTCGGGGAGCCGTGTGCCCGCCCCTGTGCCATCCCCCTGTGTCCCGGCGCCTGTGGTCGCGGCCCTCTCCAGGCGTCCCCCCTCGCGGAGCCCAGCTCCCACCTCTCGGGGAGGGGGAGTCCTCGGGGATCCCGCCTGCCTCCCTCCCTCGTTAGACGGCTGATTGCTGGAGCAGGGCCCCGGGCCCCAGTTATGTAACGGGAGAGTCTGCCCCGGGGGCTCGGGGGCCCCGGAAAGCGGGGGGTCTCCACTTTCTGGTTCTGGTTCTGCGGACAGTCCCGGCGAGGGGGGCACGGGGGCGGGGGCGGGAGCCGCTGCCGGAGTCGCTGGGAACCTGCGGGCTCCGCTTTCCGTCCGGGTTGTAGCGGGGGACGGGCCGCCGCTGCTCTCTCCTGAGTCTCCTTCCATGTGGGGGTGCCGGGCTGTCGCCTCTTTTCTTGTGCCTTTCCATTTCTCACTCGGGATTGGCTCAGCAGCTCTCCGGTGGTGAGAGAGCACTCGGGGTAATCCAGAAACAAAAGTAGAACCAAACTACAGAAAAGCATTCCCTCTGGGCATGAACGGGGGAAGACTGATACTTTTTAGGGAGCGATAGGAAAGCTTCGTGCCGTCAGAGCCGTCGCAGGACCTTTGCAGAAAGCTGCCTATTATGGCAAAGGGCTCTATTTCGATGTTTAGTATCAAGGATTTTGTGTGTGTGTGTGTGTTTGTGTGTGGAGTTTGCACTCCCATCAGGAGAGCCCGATTGTCTGTGCTAAGTTTTTCTTGATCCTTTTCTAGTTAACCACGCTTTCGGCTAGCTTTTTTTAAGCAATAAGGTGTCTTTGTCTGGCCTTTTGTTTTGCTAAGACGACTTTGAGTTTTGAAAGTAATTTTGGACCTTTCACTTGTTTAGTAATTATCTAGACAACTGTTTTTCTTTAAAAAAAAAAAAACATTTTATTGCCCCGACCGGTGTGGCTCAGTGGACAGAGCGTCGGCCGGTTCGATTCTGGTCAAGGGCATGTACCTTGGTTGCGGGCACATCCCCAGTAGGAGGTGTGCAGGAGGCCGCTGATCAATGATTCTCTCTCAGTGTTTCTAACTCTCTATCCCTCTCCCTTCCTCTCTACAAAAATATTAATAAAATATATTTAAAAAAATACATTTTATTGATTTTTTACAGAGAGGAAGGAAGAGAGGGATAGAGTTAGAAACATCGATGAGAGAGAAACACCAATCAGCTGCCTCCTGCACTCCTTCTGGGGATGTGCCTGCAACCAAGGTACATGCCCTTGACTGGAATGGAACCTGGGACCTTTCAGTCCGCAGGCTGACCCTCTATCCACTGAGCCAAACCTGTTAGGGCTAGACAACTCTTTTTCATTCAACTCCACAATGCACTTGAACTTTTAAATTTAGCACACTTTTTTCCATTAAGCTTTTAACTCAGTTCAGTTTTGTACGACTTGGGCACACCAAGGGAGGATTTTGTGGGTTTGTACTGCTTTTGGAAATGTACGTTTACATTTTTAAAGCGTAGCTATAATGTAGATTAGTTTTGGGTGGATCTTATTACTAACAGTCTAGGTTAATTCCCAAGTTGGTATGGGGATGGCATTATAAGTATCTCCCTAGATAGTTGTTTACTTGGTTGCTAGGGAGGAGAGAACAGGTGTAAATGTTTAGTTTCATCAGCCTTTTATTTTGATGCTCAGAAATGGCTAAGAAATATATTGGGATATACTAGTCGGGTGAAAGAACAATGTACAGAAAGAACTATAAAGTAAATTGTAGAATTTATTGTTCTAGTTTTAATTCTGCTCACTTAAGAAAGACTTGGGAGCGGAAATAAAGGACTTGGGACATTAACAGCTGGCTTTAGCCCAGAGGGTCTTTTTTTAAAAATATGTTTTTATTGATTTCAGAGAGATGGAAACATCAATGATGAGAGAGAATCACTGAACAGCCGCCCCCTGCACGCCCTCCACTGGGGATGGAGCCCACAACCCGGGCATGTGCCCCTGACTGGAATCGAACCTGGGACCCTTCAGTCCGCAGGCTGATGCTCTAACCTCTGAGTTAAACCAGCTAGGGCAGCCCAGAGGCTCTTGCAATTCTTTTCCAGGGTTCCTCAAGCCCAGAACTTTTTGTGGTAATACTAGGACGTTATTTGTCCTTTTCACTCTGATTCTTTCATGAGTGTTGAATGGAGTTTTCTAAAGACTGACATGACTGATATCACAACAAATTAAAATGTGGAAACAGATGTGAAAATCCACTCCTTTCTAGTAAGCCAGGCATTAAAGAGATTTGAAAAATGTTGAACAGTGCCTCTCTTCTCACTAGTTTTGTTTTGAAAACTATTTCTTAAAATTGATTTTAGAGAGAGAAGGGAAGGGGGAGGAGGAAGAGTGAGAGGAAGAGAGAGAGAGAGAGAGAGAGAGAGAGAGAGAGAGAGAGAGGCAGTCATTGATTTGTTGTTCCACTTAAACATTCATTCGTCTTGTATGTGCCCTGACCAGGCAAGGAACTCAAAAGCTTGGTGTATTGGGATGATTCTCTAACCAACTGAGTTCCGTGGCCAGGGCCTTGAAAACTGTTTTAATAAAAAGTTTTGCTAATATATGATGGGCTTATTGTTATTTTAAAATGAATTAATATTTAAAGCATTTGTAAATTTCAATCCCAGAACTGTAAACTGTAATAGGTATAATTAACCTGACAAAAGTTTTATGAGGCTCTAAATAAGTTTTAGGAGCATAAATAATTTTTAAGAGCATAAAAATCCTGAGACCAAAAAGTTTGAGAACATTTTTCTAGTCTGATAGACCAGTATCATTCTATATAATAAAGAGCTGATATGCAAATAGTCATCATGCCCATACTTTGGAACTGCTCAGACACTCAACCCTGGGAAGAGAGGAATGGGGACCAGCCAGAGGGACAAACCGCCTGCCCTGTGGTCCCTGGCACCAGCGGCTGTGCCTGTGCCTGCGGCCCAGGAGAGGAACAAGCTTCCCGCCCCATGGTCCCAGGTGCCTGCCCAAGGTCTCCTGTATCTGCAGCCGACTCAGGCAAAGCTGACCTGGGTCCTGGGTGCCTGTGGCCTGCCAGAGGAGGGAATCCTAGGTCCTGGATGCAGGGTGAGGCAGAGGCAGGGGCGATCAGGCAGGCAGGCAGGTGAGCGGTTAGGATCAGTGGTCCCGGATTGCTAGAGGCAGTTGGACATGCTCCAAGGGATCCTGGATTGGAGAGGGTGCAGGCCAGGCTGCAGGACCCTTCTTCCCCCTGTGCATGGATTTCGTGCACTGGGCCTCTAGTTGTTAATAAGTGGGACCCAGAACAGTTCAGGTTGGGTGCTGTACAGTTCCATGTTTAGGGAGGATGCTAAGGATTTAGGGAGGTAGGAAGCTGAACTTGCATCCTTAAGGGCTTAGGAGAGGAAGTAAGGATCCCAAGTTACTATTGGGCAATATCAGTAGCATGAGACTGATCCATTGTCCCTAAAAGACAATCTTTCTTTAAAGGAAGTTTTATTAGAATGATGTAGTTTTTCAGGCACCTCTCAGGAAGTTATTGTCTGGGGCTAAGATACCGAAATTGAATAATAATTTCAGGATAAATTAGGTAGACATTAAATTCACACAGGACTTAAATTTCTGGGTTCTCCATTAATTAATGAAATATGAATGTTTTTGGAATTTGAGTGAAACAGTTGATTATAATTTTTAATAATTCCAGTATTATCCAGTGGATAGTTGGATCATTATCAAATAATCCTCTAAAACAGGTTTTAAATCCAAGGTTCATGGATCCCAAAGGCTGAAAATCCAGGGAAATAGTATGGAATGTTTTGTGAGTATTCATGTATGTGTATATTTTAGTGAGAAAGAGCCCATACATGATCCCTCAGAAAGTTTAAGAACTAGCCTGTAACAAATAACAGATTTGATTGGGTGCTCTCCTTTAGCCTAATCACCTTGCAGCAATACTAATAAGCACTTATATAGAACCAGAGCTTATTATCAAACCAGTAAGGGTAATCTGTACAAGTATTTCCCTTCCCTGTATTCAAGTTTATAGTGTATCTTTTCTATGCCAAAGCCATCAGTGGCAGCATATACTACAGCTCTTCAGTTCAGGTTTGGTAATTTATAATAATTTGATGACTGATTTGCTTCAAATTCTAACCAAATCTGTTATAACAAGGCTTACTTTTCCCACCCCCACCTTAGGTTGATTGGATTATTTCCTTTAAAAAAAAAATTTTTATTGATTTTTTTACAGAGAGGAAGAGAGAGGGATAGAGAGGTAGAAACATCAATGAGAGAGAATCATCCATCAGCTGCCTCTTGCACTCCCCCCCACCCCCCCACTGGGGATGTGCCCGCAACCAAGGCACATACCCTGACCAGAATTGAACCCAAGACCTTTCAGTCTGCAGACCTACGCTCCACCACTGAGCCAAACCGGTTTCGGCGGATTATTTCCTTTGATTGTTAGTCAGGGATTTGGAAGCATTATGTACTTCTGTTTACTTCTTGGTACCTAACAAACTACCTTAAAACTTAGTGGCTTAAAACAACAGCCTTGTATTTTACTCATAAATCTGCAATTTGGGCAGGACTCCGAGTTGGATTCATCACTGCTCTGCGGTGTGTGGTTCCTCTGGATTACAGTACTCAGGTGGTTGGGTGCTGGCATAACTGGGCTCTTCATGGATTCTCAAGGTCTGAGTGGTCTCAGCTTGTGTTTTTTTTTTTTTTTTTTTAATATATTTTATTGATTTTTTTATAGAGAGTTAGAAACATCGATGAGAGAGAA